TAGTTGAGTAGGAGAGAGACGCAAGGCATTCGGCGGGCCTCTCTCTCGTTCGGTGACTCATCGTAACGTTACCGAGCGTTACACTTTTTCATAAGTGACTCCCAGCCGCAACCTAATTTAAGACGTTGTCACGTCAATACCACGGTCTTATAGAAAACCGACGTGGAACAACGCTTGCGTTGTGTTTCGTCGTGTGATGTGAGTGAGGTTACCGGAGGCCCAACTACCTCCCTCCTTAGTCTCCCTAATCCCTTAATCTTCGAATCTTCCACAATCCTCAAATTCCCAATTCCCAAAAGGCCGGTAACGCACTTATAACGCCTTGCTGGTGTTTCGGATGTGCGGCGCCTATTGCTTACCATCACGTGGTCCGTCTGCTCGTTAACCGGCTTATGCTATATAAAAACCCACTTGGGATTGTTTATGTTTTGAAACCACAGATAAATTAAATTCGCGATAAGCAACTCACTTTGTATACATAGGTACTGAATCGATTGTGATGATGTTTATTTACTACAGCCGTAGAATATACCTTGCAAAAGCTCAAATTCTGTTAGAAGTCAAGTACAACATGGACGAAGTCGCAGGCAAAAGTTAGTATACAGATCAAGAAAATGGATCTTTTTCATTGATCACAGGGATCTGCTGCCACTGACCTTAGCGAAGGGACTCAGCACAGACAGTACCGGAAGCACCGACAGCGTAGACAACGGCGCACGCCATCGACAGCGTCGGCGTCCGCGACACGTGGCCACTCAAGCTCGGAGAACTATTAAGTAACTGTTTTTCGTTAGAAAGCCAAAATTATTTCAATAGGTGCTCGACGCGCTCCTCCCAACAGTACATCCATGTGGTACTTAGGTTTCTACTGATAATTTGTGTGTGAAGCAGTGTGCCGTGCTCACAGAACATGGGAGGCGGAAGTAACCGTCGACTGTAACTTCTTTGTGTATCGTGCTATTTAGATGGCTTCTAAGAAGAAAGTGCTTAGATTTTACAAACGATTAAGCTGTATTTACTGAGATAAATATCCTTTACACCAAAAATTAACAATAAAAATGTCCTTTACGTATTACGTCCCAATAATATTGAACCGAAGTTACCTCTGTATGGTGTAAGGCTATATTTCTGTCCATGACAACGTTTATTTGGGTTGCTAATGACTATAAACTAAATTATTTGAATGAAATAAAATACTCGACTTTTGTAAATTGACATCTGGCTGTGATAGCCTTCAAACAGAAGTGGTCATCATGGTGGTACTGTAACGTAGCTGAGCTGAGAGGATTTTGCTCACTATAGGTACTTTGGTAAAAAAAACTTTTTAATATTTGAACATTGTTTGCAGAAACGTTCCGCTAGACGAGTGTCCGAAAGGTAAGTCCCATCGGTTCATCAAACATTGTGAGGAAATGTTCCAAAAAATGAGATAGGTACTATTCGCTGGTAATAAAAGCTGGTTCCCGCCACGCTTGGAACACCAATTTGAGGTGAAAGTAACTGAATACAGTCAGCCATATCCCAATTAAGGACTTCACTTAGTGTTGGACTTTATATTTAACGAGTTGACGAGTTTTCCTTTAATTATTCAATTTTGCGACCTGTTTATAAACCTTAGCCACGACGGGCGAGCGAGAGCGTGCGACGGACGAGTGGCTGGGCGGAGTGCGCGCGCTGCGTGACTCGCACGTGCGGCTCGTGCTGCGCCAGCTGCGCCACATCGAGCGCCTCAACCGCGCGCTGGACCGCGCCAGTCCGCGCAGTTCTCGAAGCCCTCGAAGCCCACGAAGCCCCCGAAGCCCTCGTAGCCGGCCACGCTGAGTGATCCCATCCCAATATATGTACTTTGACAACACGCTACACCACCTTTTATTTATGCTATGCCTTCTACTCGCATTCGCATATGTACATGTTAAGGCATTGCGTGTGCCCTACCGTGTCCGCCGGATGGTTCTCTCAGTGACCCAACCCAGGTGTTTCCAGCTCCAGTTGGCATTAGCGTCAAGCAGAAGGACGTCGAAAGAGGACACTTACCACTGCGGCAAGCGAGCCTAGCGCTACATGACATGAGGCTCTCAGAGCAAAAGTGGATTAAGTTTGACATAGGCAGTGTGAAAATAGTGGCCTTTGTATTACTGTACTCTTGGTCTTATTGGACGTTCAATGAACAGTAATTATTAATATATCCAAAGGGTGTCCAGCAAGTAGTGTGTAGCAAAAATTATATCACATTTTCGCTAATATCGAAAACTTACGACTTGGACCCAAGCACGTTAAAAAAAAGGCAAACGTTAGGTCATCGTACATCTAATAAGCACGCCTCCAACCCAGCAAATAAGTTGTCATTTAAATGAACTTTAAGTCTAATAAATAAAACAAAATAAAATAAAAAAAAATCTGTCGCATTGATGACTGCAGTATTAATAACATCAGTTATGCCGACGACATGGTGCTGCTGGACCCAACGGTCAGGTCGCTCAGAGAGTTACTTGCGTGTTGTGAGTCCTATGCATAGACTCATGGCCTACTGTACAATGTTGTTAAGAGCGAATTCATGGTCTTTAAGGCGAGTGGTGGTAAATATCCAGATTCTGTACCTGCAATTAGGCTTAATGGTAATCAACTAAATCGTGTTTACCAGTTCAAATACCTTGGTCATTACGTGACCGACGACCTTAGGGACCATGTAGACATTGAGCGGGAACGTAGGGCGCTGGTAGTTCGATGTAATATGCTGGCGCGCAGGTTTGCGCGTTGTAGCAAGGAGGTTAAAGTAACGCTTTTTAAAGCATATTGTCAAGTGTTCTACACGTGCAGCTTGTGGGCCGGCTATACTTTGCGGACTATCAGCGCACTGTGAGTCCAATATAATAATGGGTTCAGAATGTTGATGGGACTGCCCCGTTTCTGCAGTGCATCTGGCATGTTTGCTCAAGCACACGTTGATGACTTCCATGCCATTATCAGACAGAAGTCTGCATCGCTGCTCTGCAGGGTGCGGGCCAGTTCCAACTCCATCTTGAAAACCATTGCAGGGAGGTACAATTCACGTATTATACATGGTATCGTGCGAAGATGTATTTCCAACAGTAGGTTGTAACAATATAGGTACTAGCATAGTTTTAAGATTTTAAATGTTTTCTTACTAACCCCTATGAATGTTTCACTTGTCCGAAATAAACATTATTTAATTTAATTTATTTATTTATAATACAAAAAGCCGACGGCAGGTGCTCAGCGCGCAGTCCACTCGAGGTGTAGAGGTGTAGTCGAGCCGCGCACCAGCCGCTAGCGAAATAGATGTCCGTCGCATCGTAGGTAGGTACTGTTGACTATACTTGTGCCGACGCTACGTCGGAGCCGTGTTTATTAGATTTGCAATGACCTTCAACCACCACGTCTCCGGCGCAGCTCAGACGCGGCTCCGGCGCGGCGTTGTTTCGAGTGTTACTTACTTACCGCCCACCGCTAGCTGCCAGCGCACTTACGTCACGGTGCGTCGTCCGCGAGGCGTAACTCCGAGGTGGCAGCTATAACCACGAGTATCTAGTCAACCAGCTGGTAGATCAGTTTCATTTACCCGCGACTTCGTCCGCGTAGCATAATAGCTTTTGGTTTCTATTTTTAACCCCCACTATCCATAAATGGTGTGTGGAACTTACAAAATTTCACACTTTACGAGGTAGAATGCTTTTTTTATGGTATAAGCTGGTAAACGAGCAGACGGATCACCTGATGGTAAGCGATCGGCGTCGCCCATGGACACCTGGAACACCAAAGGCGTTACAAGTGCGTGCGATCGGTGGGGATTCAAGAATTGGGGGAGATTGGGGAAGAGGAGGGTAATTGGGCCTCCGGTAACATCACTCACTCGACAAAATATAACGCGAGCGTTGCTTCACTTCGGTTTTCTGTGAGGCCGTGGTATCACTCCGGTCGAGCCGGCCCATTCGTGCTGAAGCATGGTTCTCCCACACTTACGCTTTTTTTTGTAAATCTGTACCAAACCCCTTAATAAGACCTTTATCTTATTATTCTGACCGATTATCTTGAAGATAAGAATGCTTGGCAGCATGTTGGTTCGACTCCACTGGACAATACTCAAATGTAGTCAGTAGTTACTCAGATTCCAATAGTAGTAGTACTTGTACCTTTTTATCTCAAGGGATCTCACGAACGACCTGGACGAGTATATGCCACTGTAATCTGTACTGGCGGCATACGCCTCATCTATTAGATTTCTGTGGGTCCACATCAATTCCTGGCTTATGGGTGTGATATATATGTTGCCGGTTGTAGAGTAAAGGGAAGAGGTTGTTATTGATCAATGAGCGAAAGCTGATTCAAGTCACCAATTAGAAGGATTTCCGTGGCTCGAGTTATTCGGGCGGCCATCACAACGGCTCCAAAGTGGTTTATGAGGGCCTCATCTATCATTAGTCGATTGCAGCTCTCTTGCTCTCCCAAGCCGTTTTCTAGGATGGACACCCTTGTTCGAACCCTATATCTGACCAGTCCTCTGATTCGGTAGGATCGTTGGCCTCTGAGGTCCTTTACTGCTTCAGTTATTATGGTGACAACTAGATCTTTGTCCGCTTCAAATTGATCTATGAAATGAAATGAAAAGAGTTTTATTCGGCATACGGCATGAATGCAAGGGACAAAAAGTAGCAATACAATACAATTTAATAAATCAATCTACTATCCAAGTCGTTTTTCTGTATCCAGCGACGCTATTCGTCCAGTGAAACCTCGGGGCATGCCAGTCCCCAAAGACTATGTCGTCCGGTCCAGATTCTGGAATGGATTTTGCCATCCTTAATTTTCTATCGTCCATCATAATTCTGGTGTACTTGGCAATCACTACCAGGAGGAGTTTTAAACTTTAATACTCCTACTAATTCTGTAGTAGCATTATAAGCAGCCTGCAATTTAAAAAGGTTCCTCTCAGTACCCTTGATGTTGGGCTCGCTGCCATTGCAGCGGTAAGTCCTCTCTTTGAGGAGTGGGTTGAGAGACGCTGCGGCGTCCTCACCTACTGCCTGACGCAGGTCCTCGCCGTACATGAGACCCTCCCGCCTCACCCAGGTGGGAGAAGCCATTCGATGATTTTCCACCCTTTAAAAAACCCTCGATGTGTTGTTGTCGTATATACTGCTTCTGCTGCTTCGAGTCTATCCTTCAGTATTAGCTCATTACCCTGCAGATAATTATGCAAGATGGATTCGCATTTCCGCAAGTTCACCTGCTTAGTTGCCTTCACCACTGCGATAAACTCGAGAAAATCGTTTGCGACTTGGTCTCTGGGAGTGTACGCTTGTCGAAGCTTCGGCGGACAAACGTGCCCCATAGTTGCTCTTGTACAGTTCATAAATACCTATGGATGTCTATGGTTTCTGTGTACATGCGAATGACATGTGGCAAGTAGCAGGTGACAGACAGGCTTGTACTTGTGTCATTATTTTTAGGTTGCATGCATGCACAGCCGAGTAATGCACCACGTGGTGGAGTAGTGGCTCAGCAGCCGCATTCCGGGCAGCGTTACCTTGAGCAGCTGATGCCATGTACTTCTATAAGTACGTAGCGACGAGGTTCGAGGACGCGAAGGCCGCACGTGAGTACCGCAGTTGTATCCATCTAGTCTTCTGAACTTGTGCAAGGTATAATCTAAGAACACTGTTCCAGTGTTGCCTGGTGAGAGCGAAGAAGACTTCGACCCTCACGCACACCGTCATGTACCAAAACCCACCACGTGAGTCGAGACTTTCGCAAAACTTGTTAGCTTTTCCAGCAACATCACTCGACTGCCAAGGTAGATGTTTTGATGTTTCTTGTTTATCAATATGAGTGACGGGATCTTACACATACCAATCTTGAAAAGAAAGTCACGTAAGACTCGGAAGCCAGTTAGACCACAAAGTACCCAACAATCTATTATCCTTCATTTATTTCATACTAGCTTCTGCCAGCGGCGTTGACCGCATTTCCGGGGGTAAGTCTGTGTATTACTCCAGACCAAAATGTACCTCTGTTACAAATTTCATTTCGGTCCATTCAGCCGTTTTGATGCGACTGAGTAACAATCACACACACAAACTTGCAATTTTTTGAATTTTAAACTCGTCCGAACTAAATAGGGCCCGCACTGTGTTTATTCTGTTATCAAAAAGCATTCTACCTGTTTCGATAAGGGATTTAGGCATTGTTTAGGCTTATTGAGTCTCAAAAATTGTGATTTTTTTTTAGAAATATCCACAAAATACATTTTTTTGGGAAATTACACAATAATACCAGAATGTAAGACTCAATCCATTTTCTTTTTTATGTGACTATTCTTTGATATCTTTATGTTTACTAGTACATGGGACCTCCGTTACTCCATAAGCACTATCAAGTCCATTTGTTGTTACACTGTTATGTGGTGGGTGGCCATTGTCTCCGGTACCCTTTTCCAACAGATTTTAAGCGTGTTTGTGGATTTCCGTCGATTGTTTAGATGACTTTAAGTCTATGTAGCGCTTATTTTAGTTGATCCCGTAGACATTCAATAGTTTGGGTCTTATTGCAGGTCATGGCAAAACTCTAATATTGGTGCGAAGTGCCAATAAGAGCTACACCAAACCATCGTCAACTTTTATGGATATGAAATGCCATGAGGTTAAGTTAGTCGCTCAATGAAACCCCCAGCTGGTTCATTACCCTTGTTCAGAAATATCAGGTCTCTTTGGCTTACTAAGCGAATTACACTTAAGACCATGCCATTGCAACCAATGAAATTGTTGGTTCCATGAATACAAGTATCCATAAATCGTTCATATTGTTTCTCCACACTAGTATCCATCTGTAAATACTGAAAAACTTGACCTCTCTTTCATCTCTAAAGAGTAGAGTCGTCCAGTATTCATGGCTCAGTTAAAATATTTGTGATCACACCTTAAACGAGCTACAAGATGAGCTCTGGTCAGGTTGGGTTAAAAAAAAGTAAACTTGGAACGTTAGGCATATTTCCAGAATTGATTGAGATTGGTTGAATCAATGGCATATGTACCAGAAGAATGCAGTATTTTGTACAGATGACCGCCCGACACGAAACGCTACTAATATTCAAAAAGCCTCACGTACTGGTCATTTAAATCAGTTCTGCATTTTAAAGAATTGCGGACAGACTCAGGATACTCTCAATAACACTTTCACACGTTTCAGTTACGTCTTCGTCCTGATGTTATATTATATTATTAAATTATCCATATATATATATTCATATCTTTATTTGCATTCCATAATGTTTCTTAAGATGTTACATTGGCTTAAAGCTGGGGCACAATTATGGACCTGTCGGGTACAGCAAAGAACAAAGTTTAAATTTCAAAATTAAATTCAATTAATAACATATATTAACATTTTCAATAATTATTAAATTAAATAGGTCTAAGTAATAAGTAATTAAATCAAGTTGATGATGCATCAAGTCAACAACATTTTTCAAACAAAATAAATAAAAACAATAAAATCTAAAATCATCATGTCACGTGTAGCATCCAGTAAACAATTATTAAAATAAGTAAGAGAAACATTTCAAGTAATTATGTCATGGCACGTGTAATATCAATTAAAACAATAAAATCATTACTTTCTTTCTACCCGCTCCATTATTGGGAGATAGGCACGTCAGTGTGTACCTATTAATGTTTTATTATATCTATCCTGTTTTGTATGACTTCTATATGTAATGAGTTTATTGAATTATCATTTAGGTATTCATTATTTGGGTAGTAAGCTTTTTCAAATAACATTATTTTTTATCTGCGCTATGAATTTGGTTTCACTAGTTTCTGTTTTAGTACATCACAAGTTTGTTATGCCATGTGTACGTGCCCATGCAAAAAGAGCCTCCATCTCAGCATTGTGTTGAGCGTTCCTGCCCAACGCTGATTTTCAGGTGGCACCCTGCAGTGACCCATAGACGGCGGTACGCTGCTCATAAAGACAAATGAAGTAACGTGTAGTAGTACCACAGAACAACTGGTTACAGGTACTCGGAGACCATGATGCACATGCTGAAGGGGTGCCTGGGCGCCGGTTTGCTTGCTATGCCCAACGCGTTCGCACGAATGGGCGTCATATATGGCACACTGGGCATGATCTTCATTGGCTTCTTCGCCACTTATTGCATCCAAGTGCTGGTGAGTTCACTCTGCTTATAAATAGTGGTTGCATCATTTTCTAGAAGCCAATACTCCATTTTCAGTATTGTATAATAAATGTTCTATTCGTAATGGAATAAATCCTTTTTCTATTTTTGAAGACGCTAATCACATAATATAATCACATAATTATACAGGCGACGTAAAAGTGATAGTCTGGTCAACAAAGACATCTGAGGGTACAACCATTACCAACCGACCGGAAATTGGAAGTTTTGCTCAAAACATCACCATGTCCATCGATCCCACAAACGTGCACCCACGTTAGATTTTTGATGATTTTTAACCATCTTCGGTAGTTAATGTAAGCAGTTAGCTTAAAAACCGACTTTAAAAAGGAAAATAATAATGGTTCCGAAAAACAAATGAATCTCCAGCGATCTGTAGCCGACTATAAAAATGGATCTTCGAATAACAAAACTAATTTTCCGAATACAATATTGAACCTCCGACAAAATTACCAAGTTACCGACAACAGACGTTTTAGGTTAGGTTAAGTTGGTATTGTAGTAATAAACAGAAACAGTCATGTTTATTTTTCGAAGATTTCAGTATCTCATTCGGTCGTTTCGTCGTTTTTATTCGGACAAATGTAGTCGGAAAGTTAGTATTTTAGGCAGTAGATTTAATATTTTCAGTAAGGACAATTCTTCATTTCTTGTCGGAGCTTTTATTACTACTCCTTTAAAAACAATAATTAATATTACTACCTACCCACTGATAGTTTAGAACGCCTAACGCCAGTGCCTAAACAAAATGAGGTCTAAACAAAATTAAATTGCAATCATAATAACACACAATCCATTAACAGAATGTACAAATACAGGTGGTCAGAGAATACAATAGTAACAATTACGGACCTTGCCGGACACAGCAACATTTCAAATGGGTGGGGCAGAGTTTATGTTTCTGCTACCGACGGAGGGTGCAAATGGAAACTATGATCATTTTACTAAATTTATTATAATTAAAATTACATGTTAATTCCTAAAGTCTAACTAACCTAAGTGCGAATGCGTTCGACGTTGGAACAACACTACTTTCTTTTCTTAACTCGTCGAGTACCGGTTTTGTAGACACAATTATAGAACAATAGGTTGCGGTCACCGGTGACCGCTTGGTGTTTGACAGTTTAAAATTATTTCGAAAGAAGGTTTTCAATAAAATCTATTGAGGTTAAATATAGTGGGGTGATTGATGATGCAGCGATTCGCAGCTGGGCACGAGGCGGTGACATGGGGAGATGACTCAGCAGTTTAGGTGTTGCAATACTTCGTTGCATCAAAGTAGGTCTAACGTCCTGATTCAGCAGATATGCTCCTCGTGGCACGGCGTTGTAGGTACATGTGTCGGCACCGATACGTAACAAGTAGATTAAGAACATTGAGCTATTTACCATTATATACATAGTTGTGTATATACCGGTACGTTGTATTTTGTTTTAGGATTGTGGCACCAGCTTTTAAACTATCTGTGGGTGCTGGGCAGTACCTACACAGACAGTTAAACTGGGGTGTTTGTTTATATTGTAATAACCACTTTGTAATATAAATATATACATACCATACAAATACGGAAATAACACTTCACATTTGTTGTCTGTCTGTCTGTTTGTAGTGGACCGATTTTGACGGAAATTAAAGGTAGCTAATTTACATACTAAGGAACAACACAGGCTACTTTCATTATAGAAAAAGCAGACGAAGTGTCGGGTTCGGCTAGTAATAAATAATAGTTTTTGGTCAAGTAATCAAGTATTTATTGTCTCTGGTCTTAACCTAGTTGTCGATTTTTAGTTATTAGTTATAGTTTTATTTTTGCTTAGTGTACCTATAAGTAAGTAGTGAAGGCATAACACAAACAAATGTTTTACCACAGCTATTTTAACCTAAATCTAATTTTCGTGATATTTACCTTCTCACTTCTACTCACAATTTTGAAGGTAAAGCTTATTAATTAGGCCATTATTAGGATATTTCTGTTGAGTAGTTTAGTGTTTGAAATAACTACTTAAACTGTCAAACACCAAGCGGTCACCGGTGACCGCAACCTATTAATTGTTCTACAATTGTGTCTACAAAACCGGTACTCGACGAGTTAAATAACATTATTCGTCCGTCACAAGTATAAATATGGAGAGCGATAAAATAATTACTGTGATTGTCGTTTTGGGATCTCCTCCGTATTGGATGACATAATGTGATAGCGCTACAGAATTATATCGTGTTGGTGATCTATTTCACGCAGGTCTTAATTTTGTGAAAAAGAAGAATTAATATTAGCAATTATAAACTCGCCTTGATAAATAAATATAATAAAAAATTATTTGGGTTGTAATTTCAAAATATAATTTTATATATCGTCTGTGGAAAGGAAAAAATAGTAAAGCGCGAAAAGGCTACTCGTGGCAAAAGAGAATCAAAGTTGAAATTTTGTGAAAAAAAATCACATCTTTTTAAGTATTAATGTTAAACAGTCCTTTTAAAAGGTCATCGTGTTCCTATTTTGTGCAACATATTTGATGAAAATACCAGGGTTTAAAGCTTGTTTAGATAGCAAAATAGTGGTCGCTTTAGAAAAAATACTGCGAAAATTAATCCAATGTTAGTCAGAGTAAAACTTCTAACCTCCATTATAGTCCAATACCCAGTAAACCAATAATTGCTAAACAGTTTCAACAACGTTTTTGACAAAACAACTAAATTGCTTGGTGAGTATCAACTTTAAAGTGAAAGCTATAAATAACAGTTATGTTATTAAAGAAGAAATTTTAATAATAATACGTTTATAGTGAGTAATTAGGTTAATAATGAATAGAATAAGTACATAATATATTAGATGATTATTTAGTTATTATTTATAAGTTAAGGCATTGGCTGCCAATAAAAAACTGTTGAAGGCAAATCCTCCGCTAATGTCGGTCACCGGTGACTGCCATGGCGTTTAACGTGTTAAATTGCCGCGCCCTAACAGGGTGATGTACTGTACTAGTAGTATAATACCGCTATGTACATACATTTTGCAATAAATAAAAAAAAAATGAATAAATACTTAAGTAAATAGCAATAAACTATAATAATTCAAAACTCCAATTGCTAAAGTACCAGCATCAATCAAGATCTAAAATAGCAAAAAAGAACTTATGTTGTGAATTACAAAACATTGCCAGTGAAAAAATACTTATGCGACATTTGTTGCTAACACACTGAAAATACGTCGCTTTAGTAGCTACGCGGGCTGCGATTTAAGAAAAACAGAAAAAAATCTTATTACTAAAGCGCCAAAAAAATAGACGGATTGACACGAGACCCACACAGATTAACGCCGAAAAAAAGACCTATTCAGCAATGTATAAAACTCATTTTGGCCCATGTGGCGCTTTAGCATTTTTTCCTTTCCACTGACGATATGCTTTATATATTGCCGTATAAAGTATAATCAAGGACGCGCCGGATCGCATTCCGCGCGCTGCTGAGAGCCATCAGACCACACAGATGGTGCTCGATAGAGCTAGAAGATATAGAGCTTGAAGTCTTAGTTTTATTTAGACTTATTCAATGAATTTATACCGTCGCTAAGATAGGTAATATTAAATACCAATGTGTGCGTGATGGACGAATGTTTTTATGCATATTAAGGGGTGAACTCATCGCGACTGTCGGGACAGTCACTTGGGACAATCCGCACTATGATAGTCGAGTCCACACTAACGACCACCATTATTATTATTTCTCTTACAATGGAACTCAAAATTCCTTTTTTTATTTCATATAATGTCGGCACTGTCGATGCCTTCATCATAATCATCAGTAGTCGATCGGTGTCGGCAGGTCCATGCGCAATACGTGCTCTGCAAGAGGATGCGCCGCGGCTACATGGCGTACAACAAGAGCATGCGGGTGGCAGTGATGGGCGGTCCAGACTTCATGCGTGGGAGCGCTGGATTCTTCGCAAATGGCGTAGACTTCTTTCTTTTAGTATGGCAAATAGGAATCTGTGCCGTATATTTTGTATTTGTTGCAGAGAATGTAAAGCAGGTATGTAATATGTACACCATGTATATTGTATAGTTTATAACATCCGTACTCACAAAAGAGATCGACAAACCTGACTGCGACGAACAAAAATGAAACACTGTGAGTTTCCAAAGACTGATTAGTCTCACGTCGCTGGCACACGCAACGTCAGCAAACGCTGAGAGCAGAGGTCAGTCTTAGGATGCATGAATGCATCCACATCTGGTGAATTTCCTGAAGGGTATAAACTTGGATGTCTTCAAGGCCCGAGTGAAGAGGTTGTTTATGGACGACGTGAACCCAACGTAGACCGCATCATCGCTTACCACCAGGCGAGATAGTGGTCAAACGTCGGCCTATCAAATATAAAACAATAAACAATGTCCCGCGAATTTGTAGCTCGCGAGGTGCGAGCCTTTTCTGAGCTGACTGCGAGTTGCACGCGTGCTCTTAAAATCATTATTTTTATACACGCCTTGCATGAGTTGCACTAATGAAGGGTACCAAACCATTGCGGGCAGCTCACAAACGGCTCGCAAGCTGCACATTCGCGGAACATTAGCCAGATACGGACGCAGCACGCACCGCCCGTCTCACATTGTGGCCGAGATACAACAGCAGACGATATGATATACCACCGTATCTCACCGATCTGTAATGTAATGTAGGTATGTACGGAAACCTGTTAAGTTATTTCGGTATATTGTACGAATAGTCCATACATCGAAATATTTTTCAAATCCAATCCTGAGAGGGTAAAAAAGAAATATAAATCCGTACGCAAACACTGGAGTGATCGCGTAACATACATAAAAAACATAATTATAGCGAATTGAGAACATTCTCTGTTCAGGAAGTGGGTTAACAAACATCTCGCTTTAACCGCACGTCCATGACATGTATTTCTGTTTGCAGGTGTTGGACTACTACGGATACGTGGTCAGCGTGCGGCGGCTCATTGTTTACACTTACCCTCCTCTGCTACTTCTAAGTCTCATAAAAGATTTGAAACTATTGACTCCATTTTCGACGATCTCAAACTTTAGCATTATGCTAGGATTGTATCTCACGTTCTTTTATTTAATAGAAGACGAACCCATAATGGATGACAGTAAATTTCAAATGAAAGGAATTGAAGAAATTCCTGTATTCATCGGTATCACCCTCTTTGCGTTGGAAGCAGTGGGCGTGGTGAGTAGCAATGTTCTCAAGGCTTACGGCGAACACTACGCACGCGCTATCCAACTTAGTGTCACGCTCGTCTGCAGATCTTGGCGCTTGAGTACAACATGGAGAAGCCGAGGGATTTCACGGGGCTGTGCGGGCTATTCAGTGTTGCCATGTTCATCATCATCGGCATTTACGTCACATTGGGCATCTTCGGCTATCTCAAGTATGGCAACGCATGCGAAGGATCCATTACGCTGAATTTGCCACAGAACCAGAAGTATTAATGTTTACCTCTATTTTTACACAGTTTGGCATTTATTTAGAAACATTGAAAAATTGGTACAAGTGCCGACAGACATGTTGTCGCAGTTTATTAGTATCTGTAAATAGTCCATTCATTCTCTCACAGTAGCAGGTGTGCACAACATTTAAGGCCGTCACTGACCGAGCTATAATAATATTAATGTAACATCATACTACAGCTAGCTATCACACACTGAGCTATACCATAAAGTATAGTTTCCCACGGTTTCACATGTACATTCGTAGCATGTTCGAATTTCGTACAACTTTTGTTTAGCCAAGGCATGAACAAGGTGATGTGTAGTTTTATATTTAGTATTAATTCATTAAGTTGTATAGTGACTTAATTGGTTTCGATATTATCTGACGATACTCGTACTTCTTGATTTGGCGTTTAAGATCAGACTCTAATAACTGCTCCTTGCCAGTGAGTGTCTTGTCAATTTCGAATATTTAAAATATTAGGACAACAAATATGACTTTTCTTTCTTTAGGAATTCATCTGAAATGTTTAATTGTAATTGCCAGTCTTATTGAGCCAAGGTAATAAAAATAACCGTGAGATACCTCTCGTACTTCCAATTTTTTTTATAACATCACGCCTTTTTATCCCCGGTGGGCAGAGGTGCACATTACGACACTTAATGTCACTGTACAATGTAACTTTTCCCTATTTTTGTTATGATCCAATTTAATATAATTATGATATCCCTTATAATAAGGGTGAACCTATTGCCATATACCGGGCGCAGTTCCAGACTCCGTACTATTACTGACATTTTTTTAAAACCCAGTAATACTTTGCCCGATCCGGGAATCGAACCCAACACCCTTTGCCGGCAGTCGCGCTTGCGACCACTCGGCCAAAGAAGCAGTCAAAATGTTTTATAGACACAATCAATTTCCCTAAATGCGTAATGAAATATAATTATAATGCTAAATAATTATTTGACAAAAACACTGTGAACATCTAAATTAAGGAATTAAGGAAATTGTGTATTGTTCAAATACGTAAAACTCCCACAAAATGATTCAGGCAAAACTATCCGCCGGGCCGGATGCGGATGCCGGCGTCCCTCAGGGGTCAGTACTTTCAGCGACGCTCTTTTTGCTGCACATAAACGACCTGCTTAAGCCCGGTATCTTTGGGTATGCAGATGACAGCACAGTTGTTGAAAGGTATGTGTCCGGTGCGCGGACTAGCGGAACACAGAACCAGTCTTTAAGAGAATCCATGGTCGAACGTTTGAACTCGACCTTGAAGGCGGTGTCCGACTGGGGTGACGCCAACTTGGTTAGGTTCAATGCTAGCAAAACCCAGGCGTGTCTATTCTCCGCCAAACGGGGTCAATTTCCGCTGACTCCTACTTTCCGGAATGTGTCCGTACCGATAACCGATCATCTTGAGCTTCTTGGTGTAACTTTCACGCCCACACTCAACTTTGGCTCCTATATAGAGTCAAAAGCGCAACTGGCTGGTAGGAAGTTGAGTATCCTATGGAGGGTGAGACGGTACTTCACGCCGAAACAATTGCTGAGCCTGTACCAAGCACAGGTTCGGTCCTGTATGGAGTACTGCTCTCATCTTTGGGACGGCTCGGCAAAATATCAGCTGGACGCGTTAGAGCACATTGAGAGGCGTGCCAAGAGGCTCATCGACGATGATGCGCTTGTGAAGGCTCGGCTTCAAAGCCTCGAGCACAGGCGTAAGGTTGCAAGCCTTTCGGTTTTCTACCGGATACATTTCGGTGAGTGTGCGGGGGAATTGCACAACTTGATTCCCCCTAGTCCTTTCCATCATCGTACCACAAGACAATCGGCGAAGCGTCACCGATTCATGGTAGATGTACCGCCCACACGCACGAAGCGCTTCGCTTCAAGCTTCCTTGTGCGTACTGCTAAAGAGTGGAATTCTTTGCCAGAGTCTGTATTTCCTGAAGGGTACAACCTGGGAGTCTTCAAGGCCCGAGTGAATAGGTTGCTTATGGGACGACGTGCTACATCGTAGACCGCATCATCGCTTACCACCAGGCGAGATAGTGGTCAAACGTCGCCCCATCAAATATAAAAAAAAAATAAAACAAAATGACACGAATAAGCTATCTTTAAAACCAATTTAATAATCCAATGGATTATAGTGTTCGGAATACTTTTGAAGATTGGAACACGGCAATATCGTCTTCTTAGGAAAAACTTAGCTTTAAAGAAAACGAACAACAAAATAAAATATCCCGTATTTATCACAATATAATACTTCGGTGTAACCTAGAACATTGTTACACGAACGTGGAGGCTGGGCCATAATGAACCGGTTATAAAATGGGGATATTTTGGAATGTTTTTAAGTAAATGTATGTCCATTTATTTAATTTTATTGTTATTACGAGAACGCAACAACGCAGAAAAAAATTAATAAGAACATCCAAAGCAACAAAACCTATTGTACGAGCGCCTAATGGATATACCATAGCAACGAGGTGTGCTTAGTATAATGTTAGGCATTAAATAGTTGTATTTATTTTGTATGTACGGACGCTAATTTCCTCATTTGTTGGTGCGTACAACGACTAAAGTGAGCGAACGATGGAATAAAATTCCATTTTATACCCGCATACACCCCACATTTCGGCGGACTCTGGGAGGCAGGATAAATATGGCTTAAATGGCTCACAAACTCACATAATATATTGCTGATCAAATTTACTGTTCTCTTAATGTGACTCTTGTAACTTCCAATATGGTAGATACTTATTTGCTCGGCCGATTTATTTTGCTGCATAAACGAATCAATGAACTCCGTAACTCCAGCTACTAAAAAGAACAGCAACATTATATGCATCATTGTAAAATTATAGGCGATTTTTTTAACAGAAGTGTTGGAGAGCCATGCTTCGGCACGAATGGGCCAGCTCGACCGGAGTGATACCACGGTCTCACAAAAAACCAACGTGAAGCAACGCTTGCGTTGTATTTCGTCGTGTGAGTGAGGTTACCGGAGGCCCAATCACCATCCCCTTCCCCAATCTCCCCAATCCTTGAATCCCCAACGATCTTCAAACTCCTAATCCCTAAATGGCCGATAACGCACTTGTAACGCCTCTGGTGTCCCAGGTGTCCATGAGTGACGCCGATTGCTTACCATCAGGTGATCCGTCTGCTCGTTTACCGGCTTTTGCATTAAAAAAAACAGACTTATCACCTGATGGGTATGTCGTCCCATTAGTAGAATAATGTTCTATTTGCAAATTGTCGACTTTTCAGTAGAGCGATTATAAATTTCGCGCGCACATATTTGCTTATAAATCTGTTATAAATGATACTAGCTACTTAATATTTGTACAGTATGCACAGAAGTTAGTACCGTTTATGATAATATAATTATTTGTTTTATAAACTATGCCTTTTCAAGTATAATGGGTCGCATGTGCACATACAACGTTCTTTTGCCAAAAAAAATATTGAATGAGATGTCTTAAGGATACATAAAACAATATTCGACGAAACTATTCACGATACATCGGCATATCAAACATTATTTTACGAATTTTGGTGGTTTTATCCGTGTTTTATATGAAACTGTAATACTAAGAAAGTAGAATTGGTTTTAAATTCATCATTATTACTGAGTATTTTTATGTATTTAAAAACGTTGGTGTTTTCTTAATCAATTTATTAGTCAATGTAGTAATCAATATACGAGTAAATTAAAAATAAATACAAACTGACTACATACACTATGAGGAATAACCTAATCAAGATATTTATTATAAAATTATTAAAAGAGGCGACAGAAAAACAGAATAATGCTCTTACAATTCTTACAAAATAAATACATGGCGATCCATAAGAAAAAAATATTATAGATCACTTAAAACTAACTATTGACTTATTTCTTTCTGTGGTTATTCTCATGAATAAATCAGTCCTATATAATTGTAATATAAAGTTAGCTTAATAATAAAAACACAATAAATAATTATGGCACCATTGTGAATATATTAAAAAAATATTAAAAATAAAAAATTAGTCTCAAACATAGAAAACAATTATGAAAACACTAAACTAAAGAACAAACAATATACTAACTACTAGTCTACTAAAGAGGAAAGATTTAAATTTTTGTTTGTTTGAATTGAAAAAGGCTCCGAAACTACGGAACGGATTTCAAAAATTCTTTTAGCGTTGGAATCTTACATACTACACCCCTTATAAGAAAAAGATAGGAACCGTGTTAAAATTTCGAAAATGTAACCCGATTTGTGAAAAATCAACCATAAATATTGCTTAATCTATTGACTACTAATAGAAAACTGTAAAAGCAAATGCTTTTGTATTCTTTTGAATTCCTATCCCCAATCCTTTAAAAGAGCGCGAACGAAGCCTTGGGCAGAAGCTAATCCATTAAAATAACGTATTCATTTAATTGAATTAGAAAATCCCTGATCCTAATGCAGTTACATAGTAGTATTAGTCCTTGAAAACCCGTAGCATTTCATTTGTTTTAAGTAATTTTTAGTCCATCGAGGTCAAATTTACCATGAATGTTTGCCCGTCTCCTTTAGGTAATAGTATTAGAAGTAGCGTCTTACCGGTACAAATCAGGCCACATTATTAGTACCAAAGTAATAACCCGGAAGTCCCAGAATTAGAATATGTGCTATATCTCAGGACTCTATCTTTTAAACCACTGAACGTATTTGATTGAAATTTGGTTTACGGTTCACTGGCACTGAAACAATCACTGGGACAATCTATGGCTTAAAATACTGAACCTATTTGAGTGCAACTCTGTTGAAATTTGTACATTCGGACAATACCGTCTAGATATCATTACGTCGTGTTTTACTTAAATAATGTGATTGGATAGATGCAAATGAGTTCACTTGGTCACAACCGCTAGTGATCATGTCTTCTACGATTACCTTTTTTTAATTTTTGTGGCGGTCTCTGTAATCGTCTTCTACGACAGTGCTG